ATACAATAAAAATCAATAAAAAAAAATTTTTTTAAATTTATTCAAAAAAAATTAATTATAATAAAACAAAGAAATAACTTTTAAACACTTTTATTTAATACTTTTTTTTTATAAGTTTGGTAATTTTGCAATATACATTTATATTGATATGGTATTTAATAAATTACACAAATAAATATTCAAAAAAAACAAAAAAAATTTGAGAATTAATGCAGTTATGAAAAGTAATTACTTAATAAATATTAAATTAATCAATATAATAATTTATATATAAGTAGTTTTGAATGTATAGAAAATCTTTACTTAATATACAGTAAGTAATTTACATTAACTAAAGTGATCAAATTAATTTTTAAAGTTAAAAAAGTGTGATTTATTTAGTAAAGTTACAAAAAAAATTATTTCTACACAAATATTAATTTAATTAATATAGAAAATTAATATTAATAGTTTTGAATTTGCTGAATAACTTTTACTTAGAGATAAAAGGTAATTGACTTTGACCAAAGTGCTCAAATTATCCTGTGAAGTTAAAAAAAAGCTGCAGTATTAATAAAGTTACAAAATACATATTAATACATAAATATTAATCCAATCAATATAAATTTTATATACAAATAGTATTGAATCTGCAGAATAACTTTTACTTAAAGATAAAAGGCAATTGACTTTGACCAAAGTGCTTAAATATTCTTGAAGTTAAAAAAGTATAACTTATTTAGTAAAGTTATAAAAAAAATTATTTTTACACAAATATTAATCCAATCAATATAAGAAATTAGATGTAAATAGTATTAAACTTACTAAATAATTTTACTTAGAGATAAAAGGCAATTGACTTTGACCAAAGTGTTCAAATTATCCTATAAAGTTAAAAAAAAAGTCTGCGCTATTAATAAAGTTACAAAAATACATATTACTATATATATATTAATGCAATCAATATAAATTTTATATGTAAATAGTATTGAACCTGCTGAACAATTTTTCCTTAAAAATAAAAGGTGATTGACTTTAACTAAAGTACTTAAAATTCGTCATGGATCTTTGTACAGTTATACCTCTTTATACTCACGCAGTTGAGAACATGTAAAATATGTGTTTATATAGAGGTGTGACTATATATTAAATACCTTAATATAATCACATTATAAGTAATTTTATAATATTATGATTAAGTAGAAGTTATATTATAAAATTATTTATTATCAAATATATTTATTATAAAATGTGTTAAAAGATACATTAATTAAAAAAACTAGTAATATTTTTTTGTATTTTATTATCAAAAACTTTTCGTTACATAATTCTCATATTTTTTCTAAAAATTTGCATATCTTTCATATCAAATTCTTCATTTTCCTATCCTTCTAAATATTGCATCCATGTTTTAAGACTATTAAAAGCTTCATTTATTAATACTATATGACGTTTCTGATTAATTTCATTATTTAATTTAGTATCATTGCATTGTTCTTCCAAAACAAGTTGTACAATCTTAATATCTGTTAATTACTGTTCTGTTAGAACTGTTAAAACAACAACTTCTAAATATTGATCTATATCAACTTTTAAAGATTCATCTATATTGGTTTGCAAAAAGGCTTCAATAACTCTTGCTATTTGATGACATGTTATACAGCCTTGTATTTTTACATTATTGATCAACTGAAGTTCCAAAGGCAGACCAGTTCTCCTCAGACATATTATCATATTGAAATACTAGCTTTTTAATTATAGCACATTGAGTGAAAAATGGATTAATAGATGCTAATTTAGTCTGCTGATCTAATCATATTTAGGCTAGATCTTCTTGATTTACTATTTCTTTTGTAATTAAAGCTTGTTATATATCATCATTATTAACTATCGGTAAAATACCCATTTTATGTTAACAATTAATAATAGTTTCTACTTTTACTAAATCCTAAGCTTGTGCAACATATTCTATAGTTTCTTTAACATTGATTTTATTTCTATATAATATTAAATTTGTTAGAATTATATACAATATATGTATAAAATAAAATAAAACTTAATTTAAATACTTAACTTGTTCAAATCTACATTTGTATTAAATTGATAGAGAATATGCCGAATATAATGTTATTTATAAATTGCTTTAAAATTATTAATAATTCCTGTGTCTATAGGTTGCAAATGGGCTGTTGTATTAAGCGAAAGAAATTTTATTTTTATATGTGATAAATTTAATTCATCAGGATTAATATGTGATGATACATTATTCACAAGTAATAAAATTTTTCGATTTTGTACTCTAAATATATTATTAGTATACTTAAGCCATTCTTCAAAAATATCACTTCACATCTATGCTTTTAGATTAGCATAATACATACATGAAAGTGAGTTACAGTTAATTCGATTAAGACATCTAGGATTTTTTAAAGAACTAATTACAAGTGGTTTAAGTTTTTCTGTACCAGTAGCATTTGTAGCTAAAAAAACAGTAATACGAGATTTGTCCTAAAAAAAAAAATTAATTTTATTATTTTTTTTTATAAAACACAAAATAATAAATAAAATTAATTTATTACTTATTCGTTTTGTATCCAGAGTAGGAGCAAATGCTAAAGTCTGATTAGGTGTCATATGAAAAAAGAGTCCTGTTTTATCTGCATTGAATATATTTTCAAGTGGATAATCTTTTAAAACTTCTCACAATTTGTTTCTTTCTTCAGAAAGAGTTTTTAATAGTGCACTATTTGCTTCACCATGTAAACAATATCTATAAATATTATTGCTATTTTTAAATCTTTATATCCAACTATTTGAAAAAGATATATTTTCACGTGAAATCCCAAATTCTTGTGCAAAAAAAAGCCTTCTCTCTAATAATCATTTCCAAGACTGCAAGATTATTAGCATTTGCATTTTTTACCTATAATCCTAATGCTTCCTCAATTTGTGGATATTTAACTTCTTTATGATGAAAATTTTAATATTATTTGATGATAAAAGAATTGCAAGCTATTTATCCTTTTTTTTAACAATCTTTGAAATTATTGACCTGTTAATATTTAGGTTTTTATTTTGTTGGTTAAAGTAGTCGGCAATTTATTACTGTGATTTATTTTTATTCTCAGATTTTGTAGCATAGATACATATTTGTTATTTTATATCATCATTTATTGCAGTACACAATTTTTTTATACTTGGAAGAAGTGGTATTTTAAAAGGCGAAAAAGAAGTTTAAATATATAAAAAAAAGGTAAAATTTTTAAACGTGCAAATTCTTGAACGCGTTTGTTAATCATTTTCAATTTATACAATTGAAAAGTTTTTGAAATTATTAATTAAAATGTTACATTGTTATAAATACTAACGAAAGAATTTTTTTTTTAAATAAAATTTGTCTTTATTTTTTATTTTTATTTTTAAAGTTGTACTAGAATCTTTGTGAAACAAATAAAAATGTACCTTGTAATACAAATTATATTATTGTATATATTAATTTTAAAGTTTAAAATTCTCACAGGTTAATATCTCATTGATTGTATTTTGATATCTTATATCATAATTCCTAATCTTTTATTGTATTTATGTTAATATACCAAAAAGCTAAACCTAATTAAAAAAAACATTAATACGTTTCTTAAAGCTAATCCAAACACTTCTCAAAGAAACTAATATATAGGTTCAAAGTTCCTTCTATAAAGTCTGAAACCTATAAAAAAAGTGTTAGTATATTTCTTAAAGCTAATTTCAAAATAAAATTTCTTTCAAGAAAACTAACATACTGATCTAAAAATCCATTTGAAGTCCAGACTAAAAAAATTAACATATCCGTTTGAAATGCTGTCTGAGAAAAACCAAAACCTATAAAAATAAAAAAAGAAACATTAGTATGTTTCTTAAAGTCAATTTCAAAACTCAGATCAAAAAACTAATATATCCATTTAAAATGCCATCTCAAAAAAACCAAAACCTACAAAAAATAAAAAAAAAACGTTAATACATTTCTTAAAGTAAATTTCAAAACCAAACTAAAAAAAACTAACATACCTGTTTGAAATGCTATTTTAGAGAAACCAAAACTTACAAAAATAAAAAATAGAGTTAATATATATCAATATATATTCCTTAAAGTAAGACATTTAAAAAAAAGAAGAACTTACCTTTTCGAAGTATCTTTTATCCAAACCATCATTATGAATAAGCTGAAAAAATCTTAAAAAAACTTTGTGTGATACACAGATCATTATGCAATCAAAATGAAATCTTGATTATCAGATCACAGATCTTCCCTCTATTAGAATCACATGATGTGACTATATAAAGATTTTATTTACTTTAATAAAAAAGGTTAAGCGCATATTATCTGTGTAATAGTGATTACAATATAATTATGATTATATAAAAGTAATTTTCTTAATTAAAGGTTTGGACGCAATAAAAGTGTAAATATACAGAGATTATACTTATATAGGGGTGATTATATAAAGGTATAACTGTATTAATATTTATAAAAAAAGATATTAAATACAAAATAAAAAAAATTACATTTAATAAAAATTTTTATAAGTTTAAGTATTTAAATTTAAAATAAGGTTGTTTCTTTTTAAAGATTATATTAAATAAAATAAAAGTTTTTTTTTTGTAAAAAAAAGAAAAAATCAGTTTAAAAAAAAAAATTGGAAAATTGATTTTCAATATAACTATAATTAATTGTGCAACTGTGATTAATCATGCAACTGTGATTAATTGTATAACTGTAATTAATTATATAACTGTAATTAATCATCAAATTAAAAATTTTCATATCATTTTGCATACAATTTTTTTTACAGAAAAAGCAAAAAAAAAAAATAATAAAATAAATTAGAGTTTTAAATTGAATCAAATATAATATATTATTTTTTAAATAATTTGATCAAATTAGATTAGATTAGGTCAGGTCAAATGAAAATTTAAATCAGATCAGATTTTTGTTTGACTTGACCTAATCCTCTCAGTTCAGGTAACTTGATTAACTTAACCTAAACTGACCTATTTGAAACTCTAGGGTGTTATTAATTAACTTTAAGAATTATAAAAGGTCAGATACTTATAATCACTACTATATATTTTGAGTTATTATTCTGTTGATAAATAACATTATTTATATTTAAATTACATATATTAAGAATTTCTAAAAACTTATCTCTCAAAATTTTTCTATATAGTTCTCCATTCATTCTTCATTAATTTTACAATATTTTTCAATACCAAATAAACTTATACAACCTCATATCATAACAGAATCTCTACTAAACTTTATAGTTAGTTTAATATGCTGTGATTGCAAAAATAAATCTAAATCTTTTCAACATCACTCTTTCTTATCTGAGTCAAATTAAGAATTTACTTTTATCTGATTACACTATTTTTCACCAATCTTCTATATTCTAATTCTTATATTTTTGAGCAAATTTTTTTCAGGTTTTTTTAAATCTTTTTAAAAGTAATATTTTTTTTAAACACTAGTTACAAAATCTTATTTTTTCAATGAGCATCAAATAGTATTGGTAAAATAACAATATTTTCATTAGAAATTAAAGATTTTTAAATTTAAATAATATTTGTACATTCACCTAACTTAATAAGTCTGATAATTTTCTTATTATAATATTCTGTAAGTATTCTTAACTAGTTTAGTTTTAGAATAATATCAAAGCTGCCTGTTTCTTCTTTTTTTTTATTTGATTCTTATTATAAAAATATAACTTATATTTTCACAAGAAGCAATTATATGACTTGATAAACTTTCTTGAATAAGAAAAAAATACATTCTCTTTAATGAAGTAGAATTGTCTTCATAATATATTAAAAAAAAATAAAAAAAAAGCATATATTGATCTACTAATTTAAATTTACTTATATGTATAAGATACATCAACTTTATTATATTAAGTTTGATTTCTAAAAGTATTATATTACAAAAATATTACATATAAAGAAATTTTTTAAAAAGTTACAAATTAAATAATACTCAAATTTAAAATATTAAAAATCTGATTACAGGCTTTAAATTGTATTAAAATTTTAATTATATAATTACTTTAATTATTCAAGTATCACAATCTAAAAATTATAAATAAAGTAATACAATAATTATAAAAGTTACTATATATTATTTAATATATTATTTGAGTTTATTTCTAATATATATAGGAATATTTATATAAATAAGTTTAATTTTTCACATTTTAGAAAATAATTTCAACTCAAACTTTATCTTTTTATAATCATTTTCAAATTTTCTTTTTTTTATATATCACTAAGAAACCAATAAAATTAAGAACAAAAAGAATTTAAGTTGAATTTTATCAATTAAACAGTTAACTTTTTAAATAATAAACTGATTTTTTTATTTTTATAATAGAAATATGCTTTTAAATATCAATATCAGACAAAAAAAAACTGAAACTTAAGTTGAATTTTATTATTAATTTTTTAAATAATAAACTATTTTTATTTACTTTTTATAATAAAAATATATCTTTAACTATTAAAATTAGATGAAGAAAAAACTGAATTTAAGTTGAATTTTAACAATTAACCAATCAACTTTTCAAATAAACTGATTTTTTTTATTTTTATAATAGAAAAAAATATGAATTTCAGATAATTTAGTAGGAAAGTGTAGATTCTTTTATTATTTTATTTATTGTTTTTTGTTTTTTTTTTTTTAGATAATTTTAAGATTTTAAGAGGAAAGTATATTATATTTATATTATTTTTTTTTAAAAATAATGATATTACAATAATGAACGATTTAAGAAAATAAAATACTACTTTATAATATAATTATATTATATGGTGATATACCATTTGAATTAGATTATAATATTACTCTATAATCTAAATATCACTTTATAATCTAAAAAAAAAATAATCTAAATATTATATTTTAATTTACTTGCTTTCTTATATTTAATATTATATTTATATTATTTAGATGCCAAGTTTTATATTAAGAGTGTTAGTCTTCTATACCTGTTTGAATGTTTAGTTCTATGTTGAGAATACTGATTCTCTACATCTGTTTAGATATTGAGTTCTGTATTGAAGTACTTATCTTTTTATACCTATTTAGTTACCTTTTAAAGTACTAAAATAGCATAAAAAAAGGATCAAATAATACAATAAATCTGCAATTAATTTTAGCTAGCACTATTGTATAATTCTAGCTGATTTTTAAGACATATGATTTGAGATCTAAGTTAACATTAAGAACTGTTATGAATCTGTTATAAAACTGGCAAAAAACTAAAGAATTTCTATTAGTTTACTAGTTTCAGTTTAGTTTAATTGCTGAAATATTATACTTAAAGTTTTGACTAAAATCATGAAATAGTGTTAGCTAAAATTAAATAAAAATTTACTATACCTTGAGTTTTTTAGAATCTTCTTAATACTTTTAAATTTAGTTTAGTAATCAATTAATATCTACCTAAATTATTTTTATTATGATTAACTTTTATTAAATTTTATGATTGATTAAATCCTTGATTAAAATCTAAACTCTTGATTAAAGTCTAAATTTTGACTAAACTTTTAACAAATAACTAAATGATTAAATTTCTTTATAATATATAAATTATAAATTTTTATTTATTTATCTTTATTAAAGAATATATTATTATTCAATATTATTAATTTTAATTTAAATCTTTTAAAACTTTTATAGAACTTTGAATTAAATTAAGTTAATTTGTTTACTGATCTAATCTGATCTGAAAATTTAGATTAAGTCAGTAGATTTTTAGGTTAATATCAGGTCAGGTCAACAGGCCAACTTAATCTGACCTGACCTGATAAAATTCAGGTTAACTAATCATATTCTTAAATGATATTTTATCATTCAATTAAAATAATTCATTATCATTTAAGAATGATAGTTTTATCATCTAAGAATGATAATTTAACATCTAAAAATAATGATTTTATCATCTGAGAATAATAGTTTTATCATTCAAGAATAATGTTTATTATTCAATTAGAATGATTTGTTATCATTTGAGAATGATAATTTATCATTCAATTAGAATAATTCATTATTATTCAAGAATGATAGTTTATCATATTTGAATGAATATTTTATCATATTTAAATGATGATTTATTGTTCATGAATGATGGTTTTATTGTTTAAGAACAATAGTTTTATCGTTCAAGAATAATGTTTATCATTCAAAAATGATGATTTATTATTCAAGAATGATGGTTTTATCATTTAATTAGAACGATTTGTTATCATTTAAGAACAATAGTTTTATCATTTAAGAATGATGATTTATTGTTCAAAAATAATAGTTTTATCACTCAATTAAAATGATTTGTTATCATTTGAGAATGATGGTTTATTATATTTAAATGATGATTTATCGTTCAAGAATGATAGTTTTGTCATTTAAAAATGATGATTTTATTATTTAAAAATAATAATTTATTGCTTGAGAATGATGGTTTATCATTTAAGAATGATGATTTATTATTCAAAAATGATGATTTATCATTTGAGAATTATGGTTTATCATTTAAGAATGATGATATATCATTTGAGAACAATAGTTTATTGTTTAAATATGATGATTTATCATTTGATAATAATGATTTATTATTTAAGAACAATAATTTTATCATTCAATAATGATGGTTTATCGTTTAAGAATGATGATTTTATCATTCAAAAATGATAATTTATAATTCAAGAATGATAGTTTATCATTCAAGAATAATATTTTTATCATTTAAGAATGATATTTTTATCATTAAAGGATGATGATTTTATCATTTAAGAATAATAATTTTATTATTCAAGAATGATAATTTTATCATTTTAGAATGATATTTTATTGTTTAAGAATAATGATTTTATCATTTAAAAATAATGTTTTATAATAATTCGATCAGGTCAGATCAGGTCAAGTCAGGTCAAATGAAAATTTAAATCAGATTAGATTTTTGTTTAACCTAACCTGATTCTCTCAATTCAGGTAACTTGATTAACCTAATCTGAATCAACCTGTTTAGAGCTCTAATCTTTTATTATTTATATTAATTAAATACATAATCAAAAAATATTACTAATTAATATTACAAATAAAAATTATTTATATAAAAAGTTTGTTAGGGAAATCAGGCTCTAAAAATTTTTTTGATTAAAATTAAAATCTTATTACATTTAATTTAATAATATCAAAAATTAAAATGTAATAAAAATCAAAAATTTTGTTAACAATTTTTTTAAAATTCAATTTTCTATTAAAACTTCTTGTATAGTAAATAATTTATAATAAATAATATTTTATTTACAAAAGTTTTAAATTTTTAGAATTTATATAGTACATACAACTTAATTCTAACTAATAAATTTGATAAAATGTAAATTGCTACTTCTCACTCAAAAAAAATTATAAACATAAATTATAATCATAAAATGACAAAATAACTCAAGCTTAACAAAAACTATATTTTTAAAATTCTGATAAACCTATTTCAATAGAGCAGTAGCAATTTAAAATGAGATTATTTTACTATTAAATCAGAAAATTTATTCATCTTATACATGATTCATGTGATTAATTTTCTTATTTTTAATTAATTAATTTTAATTTCTGTAACACTGATTAAAAATCACAATTAGAGTTACTTGTCTAAACTTATTTTGGATTTGATAAAATATCTAAATTATAGTTTTAATAATTTTTTACTAGGGTTTTGATATAGTTTCATATTTTTATAAACTTTGATATAATTTTACCTTTTTCAGAATTTTGCAGATTTTTTAATAAAGTTTTAATATAATTTTGCTAAATTTTATCTTTTTCTGTTTAGATGATTTGCAAAACCTCTAAGTTTTATCTAGCAACCTTAGCCACAATCTTATTTAACATTTCTCTACTATCTTTTTTAGCAGATTTTTAGATTTTATGATTTTAAGCTAAAAGAATTTATTGTATAAATACTTACCTGATGAAAGCTAAAAGATAAGTATTTTATTTTAAATGCTACTATATTATTGATATGTGCAAATTTTACATAATACTAATTTTTTACTTCTTTTTGCTCATAGCCAATGTAAATAATCCAGTATATCTTGCCTAAATAATAACTGGTTGTAAAACTGAATTGGAAACCTGGTGATATGAAAAATATTTTTTAACTGCAAATTCTACTATCTAACTTGTTAAGCCTTTTTAATATATATATAACAAAATGCTTTTATTGTATATTGATAAATAGTTGTAAGTGAAACAGAAGCAAAAAATAATAAAACAATTCTTTATAATCCTGTTCACAAGTAATTACAATTTGACTGACTAAATTTCTTGGCTGCATCTTAAAAGTTTTCAATATAGTTAAGTTCACAATGAAATTTAGGATAGAATATTATTTGATATCTAATTACAATAATAATCTCTTTTAATTGTTCCTTTTGTGCTAAAAAATCTGATTATTGCCTCATTATTTTTTGTGTTTCTTCCAATTTTAACCCTTCATTTGGCCATAATATCCTTTCTATTAAAATTTGCTTTAACTCTTTTGGTTATTCATATAATTTAAAAATATAATAATTTAATAGAAAGACTATTTCTTATTGAATTCTCTCACCAAAATATGTGCTATACAACTTTGGTTACTTTTCAGTAGAGTTAAGATTCATATATTTGGCAATTAATACATCTGGTAAAAAGCAGCGTAACTTGATACATTTTCAAATACAAATAAAGCCTAACATTCTAGAAAGTATACTTTAAATATAGAAATAGCATGTTCAACTACTTGATTTATTAAATCTTCAGCTTTCTACCATCTATCATTATTTTTGCCTAAATTTATAATAATACAGACCTCTTTAAGAAAGTCATCTGATACCTGTATTTTATTAGAAAGTACAAAACGACTATAGATATTAGTCAAAAAATTACTAACATAAATTGAATAACTGTTACCTTTTTTCAAAAGAGTTGTTCTCTATTAAGGATTTAAAGACTTTGACTTTTATCATAAGCTGAGAAAATGCATTCGTCATGTATGATAAGAATAAGTAGATTGTTTGGTCAAGTTATTTCTTCTAAGTTATCTTATAAAAAATAGGTATTTTTTGCTCAAGTTTATTTATTCATTCTAAAAATATTTTCTGATAAGCTACTACATTTTTTTTTATGTCTATCTATATATATTTCCTTTTTTACTTTTGCATATGTATATCTAAGCTCTTTCAAATAGTTTTTTATAGTATTTATATGAATAGTTAAAGATAATGTAAATCTAAGTCCTGATAAAATATTTTTATTTATTTGTATTATTAATATTTGTGGAGTATTTTTTCACTTATGCTTCTGAACAAATGATTTTACTTATAGGAAAATATCTTTATCTTAAAGAAAACTTTATATTTTAGCATAATGTTTTCGATAAGAGTAGGGAATTTTGTGATTCATTATATATCACGTACTTAAAAATAAATGTATTTAACATGATATATTCCTTTTTTTACTGCATCAGCAACAATTTTACTTACTTGTATTTTTGAATAATTACTTCTTATAAGTTGAAAATAAAGATGAATGCTATTTAAATATACCCAAACCTCACTATTTGTTTTTTCTTTTTTAATATCTAACATCAGATTTTCAAGAGCATCTGGAATTTTATTATATCAATTGTAACTTTTAACTTCATTATCTGACTGTTAATTAGTATCATCATTTAACTGTTATTAGCATTATCATCTATTTCTATATTAGTCTCATCATATAATTCTTTAATTCTTTCAGTAGATTTATTAACATTTTAAAAGGTATATAACTTAAAGATCCCTTTTGCTGCTTTAGATTGTTGCTGATTTTTTTCTTTTTTAGTGCAGCTTAAGTTTTCTATGTAATGTAATCTATATATTTTTTGAGAAGTATATTCCTAATAATACTTTTTTGTTGCTTTTTGAAGTTTTTTACAATATTTACAGCATTATCATTTTCTACAGGTTTATCATAAATGAAAAATTATTATTATTGTGAAAAGAAGTATTATCAATGTCAGGATCTTTAATATTATCATAGCCTTTCAGCTCATTATGGAAAGAAATATTATTAATATTAGAATAATTTTTAAAATCAGATACGTTATCAATATCAATGTTATTTTTGATATACTGACGTTTAGTTTTTTTACTTCACAAGCTTTTTTAGGTATTTTTGATATTTTGTTAGATGTGATATATTAGAGTATTATCATATAGGTAAATCAACTTTTTTATTATTAATTGATATTAGTTTTTTTAAAAAAAAAATTTTTTTAATTACAAAATGTAAAATAAAAAACTTATATTCATGTCAAAAAAGCAAAACTAAGTTATATGTATCATTTATTAATCAGCTAATATATTTAATACTGTGAAATTCATTCAAATCCTAAAAGTTAAAATCTTAAAACCTATTTATCATATCCTATATATGATCATATTTATTATATACTTTTCATAATGTAGGCCAATATTAATGTGACAAATAATTTTAATTTCAGGATTTTATATTAACTCAATACTACAATAATCTAATAAATACTGAAACATTTTAGAATATACTTTCAAGTATTTTAACTGATAACATCTTTATTATTTTTCATTAATTATAAATATTAATTTTATTATATATGTATAATATATAAATATAAATTCTAATCACTATAATGATTTTCAAATTATTTTATCATGTAATATGTATATGCATTAATAAAATTATAAGATTTTTATGATAAATGATTAATATCTCAAATTTGGCTGCTTAAAATTTTTTGGTTAAGATTAAGTTGTATGTACTATAATAAAATAAATATTATTAAAAATTGTAAGTTAAAATCTATAAAATATCTATGAAAAATCTATGAAAATAAAGTTTTAGTATTTTAGCATTTTAATTATTAAAGACTAAATAGTTTTAGTTTTATTATATAACTAAATATTTTAGTTTAACTCAGTATTATTAGCTGAAATATTAATTTATAATGTTTAAATATATCATAAAAAAACAACTCTTAAATTTTTATTATTTAATTTAAAGGCAATTACATCTAGAAATCAAATCATATGATAATATAAAATACATTTTATGGTCAGTTATATATGTAAATAAACAGATTATGTATAATAAGTTATCTAACTAAAAATATCTTACATTTACGCTTCAGATAATAATTATTAATACTTTAACTTTTAATATTTATAAAATAATTTTAATTATATAATAATAACATTTTTTAATTAATATTATTGTAATCAATTTTTTAAAATGCTTATAAGTGATAAGCGAAGCAATATTTTTAGATAATAAGCAGAAGATTTGTTTTATAATTAATTTTAGAAGAATGTTAATCAGTTGACAGTTTATTTAATAATAATAATAATAAATAGGTACTATCTTAGTTAGTGCTCTGTTCTATACAAATATATTAGAGAGATTAAAGTAAAACTATCTAATAAAACTACTTATCAAATACACTCTAGACACAAGACACTTTACTAAGCTAAAAGAAAATGTCCTCTATTTATAAAAAAATAAAATACATAAAATTATCAAAAAAAATAAAAAAAAAATAAATATAATATATGAGATAAAATATAATAAAATAAAAATATAGCATAAATAAAATAAAATAAATAAATAAAATATATTGTATAAAAGAAATATATGACATAGATGACATAGAAGACATAAGATATATATAACTTTCTAATGATCAATGTCATTCTTTTGATCATCATCATTTATATCACAATATTTTTATATATTATATGTATATAAATTAAAACTTATTAAAATAATACTTAGATTTTATATAATAAGAAAATTGATTAAAATTTATAAAAATATTATATAATAAGATATTAATAATTATTTAATAAAGATTGTTATAAAATTATTAATTCTCTAACCATAATTCTAATTTTTAATTATTTTTATTTTTATTATTTAAGAAAAATCATATAGTAAATACAGTAAATTAACAAATTTAAAAAACTTTTAAATATCTTAATGCTTAATAATTTGTTTAATAATAAATTTCATATATAAAAATAATACTTATTTTGTTTAATAACTTAGAATAATCATTTAATTATAAATATTATAAAAGTTATCATATGAATTGTTGAATAAATGATTTTCTTTAAAACATGAATAAATGTTCTAAACGAAAATAAAAACTATTTTTTTTAAAATATATATATATATATATATAAATAAAATATATCTACATGAAAATAAAAGGATATATATTTATATTATTTAAATAAAATTTCCATCACTCTCAAAAAGATATATGAACCCTTTGCAATAGAAAGGGAGGAAACTGCCGGGAAAAAAACCAAATTTACTTTATATGCCAGATATATTTTTTTTAGGTCGAGATTTAACATTAACTCATTTTTTATTTTCCCGGCAGTTTCCCCCCTTCCTATTGCAAAGATTCCATATGTATAAACAAATAAATAAACAAATATATATATATAATTATAGAAAAAGTGAATATAATTACATGAAAAACAAAAGAAATAAAGAATTACTAAATTTACTAAATAAAGAAAGGAAAAGAAAATAAAAATATTAAAGAGCTGAAAGTACTAAAATACATAATAGTAATGAGTATAATGGAAAAATTATAAATATTGACCAGAATCATCATTATCATCATCATCAAATTTTGATCTCTTTTGATTAGATTCTCCGCTTGAATTAAGTATGAAATCAAGTGCTCCTTTTGACTTACGTTTTTGAGGTGTGGGTCTTAAGACAGGTGATTGTTGTGGTATTTGTTGAATAACTTGAAGTGATCGATGTTGGTGATTAAATGATTGTAATGGTGCATTGTGTGTAAAATTGATAAACCTTGTATTATTACCATATACTTCGGGGATTTGCGAAAATCTCTGTGGAATGGTTGATATCGGAGATTGTAAAGGCAAGTCATGTATAGATGGTGATGCGGAAGAAATGATTGATTCTGGTCTTGGTGGTGGATAAGAGAAACCTGTTACAGACAACTGCCTTTGACGTGTATATGTATTAGGAACATTCTGTTGATATGAAGGATTATTTATACCAGATAACGTATGCCGTCTAGGTATAGGTCTAAGCACTTGTGGAAGATTTGAGTTATTAAGATTGCTCGTAGTAAATCTTTCATGTTTCTCCTCCCCATCCTCATCTTTATCAGTAGTTACTGGATATTCTTGATAGCTATTTAACATTGTGCTTTCATGCGATTCTGGTTGGTCCCAAGGATTCGCATCTTCACTAGAAGATTTTTCTTGATGACTATAAATTTGTTCACTCATAACACCATTTGATTCAATTGATTCACAATCCACTGTTATTGTTGAAAAAGTTTTTGAAGTTGTCATCCGAAATTGTTCTTTCGAACTTAAATCGTTATCAGATGACGTCTGTTCTATATCGTCATCAGATAACACCTGATCGCTTTCGTTTTCTTTATCATTTGACTTAATATCAGAATCATCATTTGATGATTCTTCATCACTTTGATCTAATATTTTAGATTCATGATTTATTATATCGTTTCTTCTCATTAATTCAAGACCCTTCGAATGAACAAGTATCGGTGATGTTATAGGAGAAGGTTCCGATTTTATAGTTACTTCACTAATTTCCTCTAGTGCTTTTCCTATATTCTTAGAAGGATCCTGAATATCAACTAATCGTTTTTCTAATTCTACATGATTTATTGACTGTGCTTGTACTTGAAGTGTTGGTGATGTCAATGGTTGAGCATCAAGTTGTATAGATTGCCTTCGTTTCCAATTCTCTCTTATAATAGATGTTCGTTTTTCTAACTAAATAAATTATTTATTTTAAAATACATCAATGTTTAAATAATATAGATTAAATATCCGCAATATAATAATTACCATGTCTCGCGATACAGCGTTTTGTATTCTTTTCCGGACATGTTCCACTATACTTTCATGATCAGCTACATGTTTTTCATGCGCAAATCTTAAAAACCTACAATATTGATTTTCAATTTAGATCACCCCAATATAAAAAATAAAATTTATAATTATTGATATCTGACCTCCATCCACCATCACGTGAGTACGGTGGGACTCCTTCATGTTTGTCATACCTTAAATAATGAAAAAATTTTAATAAACACATATATACATACAATTATAACCTAAATTAACTCACCAGAATGTGGCAATTTTACCGTCCGGGGGATTACCTTGCCATCTATATAACGATAATTTTATCATAAAGTTAGTATTCTTATTATTCATAATCTTAACTAATATTAGAATACTTACTGAATAGCAATATTTGATTCTGGAGTTAATGTTAATTGATCATAAAACTTATGATTCCTATCATCAAATGTCAACAAATGATATATAGGTTTCTTATCTTCTTTGAAATATAGTACTTTAATCATGAAATCGACCGTGTACTGCGTGATTTGTTTCCATAATAGGCTAGTGATCGACACAAATTGAGCAGATCCGTTAATTAATAAATTAAGGTTTGCTAAGCCACCGAGCAAAAAATTATAAATAAAATGGAAAATTTTTTTTTATCGATTCTTGACTTTAACTTACAGTTTCTTACATACTCCAGGTTCATATGGATGATTTACCGGTATGAATGTTAACTCATCATTTTCATTTCCATTTAAAACATTTATCAGTCCATATGATAGTTCCATTGATTTTATTTCCATCCTTTTTATTTTTTTTTAAAAAAAAAAAAATTTAGTATCGAGAAAAAAAGATTTTTTATTTATTTTGTAAAAGAAAATATTTACGTAAATGGCATTTTTTTTTTGATTTCGACATTTTTTTCCAGCATAGCGTTTAACGGTTCTAGTACGTCGTGCCTCAGCATCTAAAAAAAAAAAAAAAATTAGCCAAAACAAAAAGATAAAATTTCTTTTTTTTTCTTAGAAATTAAATACTTACTCCCATTCGTTTGCTATATGGTCTTTCTATAAGAATACTTCCATTACAAACCATCAGATCGAATATTAAATATCGTAAACATTGCTACACAATAAATTAATGTATTAATTATGAAATTAAATAAAGAAATATATTTAATATACGAACTTTATTTTCCGTGTCCATGACCATCTCACCATCCATCATTGTTTCGTTATGGATAAAACTATGATTAGAACGTAATGGTAACTTGAATCCAGTTAATATTCGAAATTTACATGATTCGTCCATCTGCATTTATTTTAATAAATATTCTTTTATATTAAATAAAATAAAATAAAATAAAAAAAAAAAAAAAGAAACAAAATGTACCATGAATGCTGTGCCACCATCGACGGCCGTGAAAAACAAGATATATCGTTTCCCGTCAGTTTTATCTCTTACAAAATAATCTTCTTTTTCTAGCAATTCAATATGTCTTGATTCGAACTCAACAGGTCGAGATCCGGGAAATCTATTTATAGAAAAAAAAAATTTGTATAAGTATAATCAATCAATCATGAAATTTTGAATCAAATAGCCGAAGTTACCCTTGGTTTTTATGACGCAATAACTCTTTTATTCGTGGTAATAAGGTATTTGCATAATCATCATTCAACCTGAGACCTACTTTGATATCAGGACGTTGATTTAAATTATATGCCATTTGCGATAAAATTAAATATATATTTAATGCTTTAAACGAAAATCTCGGTAAAAAATAATAATAATAATAATAATAAAATAAAACTAAAAAAGAATGGAAAGGTTGGTTGACGTAATGGGCAGATCAAAAAAAAAAGGTTCAGTTGAAATATACAAGAACGGAAAAACTGAGCAGAAAAACTGTGGAAAAACTATTTGGATAAAAGTTGATTGAATATATCAGTTGATGGAAAACTTTATATGTTCGTAACGTCATCTGTCGCACAGACAAACCTTTTATTCATCCAATGAAATATAATTTAGCATATCAATTAAATTGTTTAAAACTGTAAGTCAAGAGGGGGGAAAAAGAAGACTTTCTAAAGCGGAATGGTTTATAAACATCCGAAGTGCGGGCAAACGGTAAAACCAAACGTTCCAAACTAGGGTAAGAAAAGTTGTGCTTAAAGAATTTTCAAGGAGAATCTCTGAAAATGGAAAGTTTGGTAACCACAGCTTGCATAGCAAGTTGGAAATGATCGACTTACGAATAAAGTTATGTGCCGGCATGAAGTTTAAAATTAAAGTTTCTTATGAACAATGTACGAACCATGCGGGACCAGATAACCGAACATTAATGTAACCCCAACCTTTATTTTTATTTATTTTTATTTTAAATAATGCAAGACAATAATAATGACACTAAGTTAATCTATGAAGGACGTTCTGGTACAGCATGAACAGGTTGTGGAGGTGATGGAGACGATGGAGGTGGTGATGGAGGCGGTGGTGGTAAAGGCGGCTCAATTGATAGTTGTGATTGTGATTCATTGTTATTTGAATTTGAATCTAATTCTACCATTTGAATGGTTTCTTGAGGAGAAGCAATTGATCCTTGGTCACCTCCATTAGAAGAAATATTTTCATTGATAATGTGATGATATTTAGGTAAACTAAAACCTTCGTAAGGAGGTAATTCTTCATCAATAGAACCAGCATATGATGGAATATCAAATAAGTCTCTCCTACGATTAACTGGAAGATTATTAATATAATTTCCGTTAAAGTTTTGAATATTATTATCATTATCATTCCTTCTAATTCCACTCCTTAACAAATGAATACATCTAAATATCCAATATATAATTTCCACGAATACAGCGATACCAATGATACCAAATACCCAATATAATATATTATTCTTTCGTCCAGGTTCGGCTACAACATTATCATTGTCAGGTTTGTCATCTGTCGGAAGAAAAGGGGAGTCACTCGTCGATGATTGTTGCGGAAAAGGAATAGGTAATACTTTTGGTATCATCATAACCATTGCGAGTATAATAATTTGTAAGCGCGTCATTTCTCCAAACATATAGTAAATAATACATACGCTCTTGGCGCATAATATTCTTATCATAAAAGAATGTAGTTAGTTTATTTATTATTATTATTATTATTTGCTCCACACCAAAACCAATCTTATGGGATTGAGTACACAGTTTTTTTATTTTTTTTTTTTATTTTTTTTTCCTATCTAATATACTCTAATTTTAAGTGAAACATCATGTGATTTCTTATTGTCCATTTAAATTAAGTTGAAAGTAAATAAATATGCATAATCGATATTCCATTTCTTAAAATATTCTTGATCATCTTTAATAATTTAGTACCAGGATTTATCAATTTTTTTTAGATAAATGGATAAAAAATCAAGGAAGGAGAAAAAAGAAAGAAAGAAAGAAAGAAAAGACAAACAACAAGATAAACAACAACATTCTGAGAAACATGAATTTATTTTTCAATCAAAAAAAGATTTATCTGAAGAGGATATTAGACAAAAAACTAAAGAATATAATATTAAATTAGATCAAGTAATAAATCATTATTTTATATACCATTTTATAAAAAAAAAATCAAATTTTATTTTAACTAAAAAATTTTTCATTTTTATTTTACTTCAAATAAATAAAGAATCCTCATGATATTAATTTATGGCTCGAATTTATTGCATTTCAAGATAAAGCTATGCAATTTAATGTTTCAAGAAAATCTGAATCTACCAAACTAAGTATTAATGAAGTTAAATTAAGCATATTTGATAAAGCCTTACAATTAAATCCAAAAAATTCTTGGTTACTCGTTGAATATTTAAAATGTTGTGAACAAACTTATGAGTAAGATACCTTTTTTTCTTTTTTCTTTTTTTTGAGATAACTCTTGATTATTTATTTATCTCTTTGACTTTTACCAGCGTTCCAAAATTACTTACAAAATGGGATCAAATTTTAAATGAAAATCCTGGTGACATAGTACTTTGGATGGAATATATAACCTTTAGACAAACCAATCTTGTTTCTTTTAATGTTACTCAGTGTTTACAATTATTTGAAGATTGTTTGCATGTTTTGCGCAAATCCGTTTTGGTTGCAAATGATTATAATGGTAATTCAAAAAAAAAAAAAATCGAATGTATTGGGATTGAAAAAAATTTTTCTTATACTAATTTTCCTTTTTTAAAAGAGAAACTTCGAATTGAGCGAATTATGATTCACGTGTTTCAACGCGCCTGTGTCTTTATGTTACAATCAGGTATTAAACGCGAAGGTTTGTTTGGTTTCACTAGAAGCTAATGAAGAATTTATTACTTCATTAGGATATTCTGAAAGAGCTTACGCGTGTTGGCAAGCGATGGTTGAACTTGTCTTTTTTGCGCCGGATCATTTACGTCAACAAACTTTTTATGATCGTGTCGCAGCTTTGGAGGTCTTTTGGGAGGCTGAATGGCCTAGATTTGGTGAAGATGTTTGTGGAATATTATTTAATTATTTAATTTAAATGTATGAATTGCAAATTTTATTTACTAAATATTTTTATAGGATGCCAAAGGATGGTCGTATTACGCCGATCAAGGTAAATTTTTTTTTTTTTTTAATTTTAAAAAGCGTGTAAACTATATTAAAAAAATTAATTGCTGTGATTTTGCATATAGGCAATAATGAGATGCAAGTTATTCCCGCGCCACTACCAAGTCCTATAAATATTTCTAACTTACATGGTTAGTTAGTTTGAAAAAAAAAAAAAAAAAATTTTTTTTCCTCTGAATCCTTAATGCAAGAATCGTTAATTTGAATGAAATAGGGGATATGTATGAGAAGTGGGCAACGGCCGAAGAAATGCATAATGGTCGATTACTTTCAACACGAACAGGTAAGGAATTCTCTCCTTCCACATTTAATTATACTTTGAACGCGATAAAGAAACAAATTCTTTTAATAGGGACGGGAGGTGACGATGACATCAATGTAGACGATCCATATCGGATTATAATATTTGACGATATACGATCATTCTTATATGACGTCACATTCCCTCAGTCGTGTATAGAACTTTTATATGCGTGCTTTTCATTTGTTGGATTGACGTTCAATCCCGGATATTCATCATCAAATCCGTTGATTACGGATACCTTCCTAAATAATAAACTTGCAAATGAATCAATAGCGAACAAAAGTTTTTGGGCGACAAGATTGGAAGAAAATTGTTTATTCAAATTTCCTATCAAGGCATTTCCTCAAGTTGAAGATAATTTATTCAATTCACAAAATTGGATTTGTATTTGTGATGAAGTTGATGTGATAAATGTCGATATGAAATTTGTAAGGTAATGTATTTATGAGAAATTATTAAGAAGTTATTTATATATTTTATTTGAGAAGTTCATGAAATGTTCTTATTTCCGAATAGGAACGCGTTTTATCAGTTAAGACAAGTAGTGAATGACACGGGAATTAAATTGAGCCGTCTCTCGGTAGAGCATTTATATGATACGTCGAGGTAATATTTAGTTTCCTTTTTATTTATTATTGAGTCATAATTTCTGTTGTTTTGATCTAAATGACTTTAATAATCTTATAGTGGTCGGTCGCTTGCAAAGAGTATGTTAAAGCGAGAAAAAATGAATCTCGCACTTTGGAATGGTTATGCGCAGGTTGAACGATCATCAAATAAATACTCGGAGGTATTCTCGATACAAAGATATAAATTATATATATTATTTTTTCCCCTTAAGTATGTATTTATAATTTGTTAAATAAATAATTTGTTAAAAAACCTTAGGCACGTAAAATATATCTTGGTGCTATTGCACAGATTCTATCATATCCCGAACGATTTCAAATTGATGCTCCATTATTGCATAGAACATTTGCAGAAATGGAATTGGAACAAGGACATTATAAGACCGCTATGAGTAAGTATACTTTTTATATAGACTTGATTTTCATTAAAATAGATTTGAATGTTATTATATTATATTTATTTCGCAGATATTTTAACGCTGTTAACCGAAGAACAAGGGAATATTGGTAACGTAATATATTAATTAATTCCTTTAAATTATTGAGTCAATTCTAACATAATTTTATAATAATAAAAAAAAAAAAAGAATCGATAGCGGAAGTTGATGTATCAGTAACTAGATTGTTGAAGGCGAAGAAAGTTCGTGAACTAAAGTGAAAAATCGAATTTATTTAATATTAAAGTTATTAATAAATCCTTTTTATTTAGTATTATGCACAACAAATGGCAAAGTCCACAACAACGATATCACAATATGAATCAGGAAATTCATTACATTATTGTGTTTGTTATGCATTACTGGAATGTCTTAGTCAGAATATCCAACAAGCTTGTAAAATATATGAAGAAATGATACAAGATATAGAAATGAGAAAAGGTTATTTGGATTTAGAAGCTGAATTAATTTTCATGGCATATCCTTTAATTTAAACTGTTATATATTGGAAAGTAATAAATAATTAATTTATTATTATTTGTCCTCAACAATAATATATACTTATGTAAAATTAATTTATCAGTACTCGAATTCATTCGCTAACAGTTATAGCCAAACATCATCAAATAATGAATCAGGGAAATTACTTCAAAATGTATTAACAAGAGCTATAAAGGCCTTTCCTAATAATACAATATTTTTATCAATATACTTCCATCAAGAAATTCATGGCAGAATATCAACTGGATTATATTCGATTTTGGATGAAACATTACAAAAGTATTATTTACTACATTATTATTATTATTTATTTAATATAAAAAATTTAAATTAAAAATCATCCCTTTCTTTTTTTAAGGAATCCAAGCCATATTATATGGACGTTTGCTTTATATTCGGAATTACGTCGGCAACAACCTTTTAATGTTAAGCGTGTAAGATCATTATTTGATAGAGCGCTTGAATGTTCAAAGTAAGTATAAATTGTTACAATATTAATAAGTTATTCTTTATTAATTTCATTCATTTTACATATTAAGGACAAAGAGTTCTATTTCATTATGGACTTTATACATAAATTTTGAGATGACTTATGGTAGAAATGACATAGCTAAAACTTTATATTATAGAGCTGTAAGAGAATGTCCATGGTCAAAAGGTAAGGTTAGAATGAGTTTATCGTAATATCAAAAAATATTAACCATATCCTTTATTGGCTTATAGATCTTTATATAATGGCATTTAGAAAGTTACGTAGTTTATTCATTATAGATGAATTGGAAGAAGCTATGAATGTATTGTATGAAAAAGAAATTAGGTTAAGAGTTTCTATAGATAAATTTGATGATAATTTGAGGATTGATAATTAATTGTAATGGCAATTACATCAATAAAAATATAATTGAAGCTGAGTTTTGTTTTCTTTTGTTCTTAACAAGGAATTACTTCTTTACTATTTTATTATTATTATTATTATTATTATTAAATTCGGATTTGGGTTAAGATATTTTTGAAATTGAAATTGATGAAAATTTCATTCTCGCTCTGGTATTTAAAGAAAAATTTTCCTATCAACAATTTTGTGGGTTAATCTTGCTGGCAAACAACATTCATTGAACTTAGTTCATATCGATAAATGATTTAACTTCTAATGAAATAATTTAATTAAACTTAAATACTTAAAAATCAATTGAATATAACAAATTATCCAATAACAAGTTTAGTTTCATTTTCAAAACTATATTCTGGAACTTCAAGATTAAGAGGAGCAGGTCCTTTTCTAACTCGACCTGATATATCATAATGAGAACCATGACAAGGACAATACCAGCCATGATAATCACCAGCTTCCCCAATTGGAACGCAACCTAAATGAGTACATACTCCCTAAGAAAAAAAATGAAATGATTAAAAATACGTTATGATGATAAATAAAATCAATAATTCCACTTTTTAAAAAAAGTTTACTTACAAGCATAACCAACCATTCGGGATTTTTTGTTCTTTCAGCATCGGTTTGAGGATCTTTAAGTTCTGATAATTGTACGGAATTCGCTTCAGAAATTTCATCTGGAGTTCTATGCCTTATAAAGATAGGTTTACCACGCCATTTAATGGTAAGGTTTTTACCCTCGGGAATTTTTGCTAAATCCACTTCAACTTTAGCCATAGCTAAAACATCAGCAGATGCACTTAAATTTGCAAGAAAATCGGTAACAAAAGCTTTAGATCCCGCAGCTGTCAATGTTCCAGTTGCTCCAACCATTAAATAAGTAAATGTACGACTAGTATTTGGTCCACTATGTTTTTTGTAACCAGAAAAATCCGGTACTATGGTCGATTTACTAGAATCTACTGCTGCTGAAGAAGATAAACGCTTTTGAATATTACCAATATATGGTGCAGCTTATTATATAAAGTAAAAAAGAGTTTATGTGTAAGTTGTCAAGTTTTTTTTTTTTTGTTTTTTTAAGAAAAAAAAAAGGTATTAAATAAATTACCACTTAAAGCTGTTTTTAAATGGATCGAGCCATCACACCGGCGGCTTGCACCAACAAACCAGGAAGGAGTAATAATTTTTTGAGATTCCTTATGAACATATTTGGAACCATCTAAAAGTTTTCTAATAGAATTGGCACTATATGGTGCAGTAATGTGAGTGCGATTAACCGTAGCGGCGAGTTTTGTCAAATTCACCATAATTATTAGCAACAGTAGGAAAATGACGACATTTTTTTTTTTTTACATGAATCGTTCTGAGGATCTGTGCCACCAAAATCAATCGATAATCGGACTGCGGTTTTAATTTATGAATGGCGCAGTAATACAAGTGATTAAAACGTTATCTTTAATTATAATTTTAAAAAAATAGTTAATCTTTTAAACTACTTATTTTAAACTATTTAACCTTTTTTTTTCTCCAACCACAATTTAAATATAAGCTATTTCTTGATAGCATAAAAAGTTTCAAAAAGTAATTTTTGTAAATTGATATTTGATAAGTTGATATCATAAATCTGATTTGAAAAATAGAGGAAATGATAATACTTCATTAATTATCATTTATTTCATTTATTGAACTTGTGAATTTTAATTATTATATTAAAATTCTTTTTAAATAATGCTTAATTAGATAATTAAATCTTAATATAACTTTGTTATTAATACAAAAATTTTAATAAATCAGTAAAATGATTTATTTTTTATTTATTGACCAATTATTTGTTAAAGATTTGAAGATTTGATTTTTAATGTTTTTAAGTTATATAATTTATCTAGTTATAATATCAAAAAATGTTATTTTAAAATTTAATATCTTTATTTCTAAATATTCTTTTATTTTATCTATTTATTTAAATAAGAATACATAATTTTTAATAGAAAAATATTACAATTATTTTATACTATCTTTATAATTAAATTTAATATATATATTATATTAAAATAATGCTAAAAATTGTTAATGTAAGATTACTTTTAATTACAATTATTTATTTCATTATTAGTTATCTACTAAATTGTAAGGATTTACAAATTAATATATTTTGTTTATTTATTATAAATTTCCGTATAATTTATTTTTATAAAAATTTAAATTAATTTTATAAATATAAATATTTTATATTATGATTATTTTATTTTATAATTATATAATAATTTTTGATTTTTCTTGAATATTAAACCAATTTTTTTCAGATTATATTAGTTATTTTTCTTTTTTACAACTTTTTTTATTCTTTATCATTAGATATTAAGATTTTCTAAAAGATTATATTTGTTTTTATTAGAAATATTTGAAAAAATTAATAATTTGAAAGAAAATTTTATTGAAAATTTTTTGTTTAAAAAAAATTATTTTATAAATTTATTTAAAGAGATTGTAATGAAATTAAAATATAAATTCTTTATATATATTTTTAAATAGGTATCAAATTTAAACTTTTTAATTATAAATACTAGTTATTAAAATAAACTTTTTTTATAATAATAAATATATCAAAAAGTTTATTTTGCAAAAATATTAGTAATCATTAAAATAAACTTTTTTTATGATAGTTATAGATAATAATGTATTAGTAAATAGTAATATTATCTAATAATAAATTAGTGTTTTTTATAAAACTCATAATAAATTAGAATCTGATATAAAATTTATATTAAATTTTAATTTTAAATAAATATCAATTAATTAATATATTAACTGATCAAATCATATATAAAATAAAGTAAATTTAAATTAATATAAGCTAATCAAATCAAAAAAAAAAAGTAAAGTTGATTAATTTAAATTTTATTGATATAAAATATAAATAATTTAATTTAAAATCTAAATTTATATATAAGTATTTTGCAGTAGAAAAGGAAGAAACTACCAATAAATATTTTTTTTTAAGTTAATATTAAATCTAAAATTATTTTGCTAAAATAATATTTAATTTATAAAGTAAAAAAAAATTTTTTTAATGTTTTTTTTTTTTTTACTATAAAATATTTATATATATTTAAAATAATAAGAAATAAATAAATATTTTAAATAAAAATTTATTTTTAAATTAAAATTTTTATCAAAAAAAATGATAAGACCTAAAAAATATCATTAATAAGGATTATCAATAACTATTTATAATAATACTAAAATTAAAAATTTAGTCAAATGTAAATATATACTATATTATTATAGGTAAATTCTAAAATATTTAAGAGATATTAGCAAAAAACAAAAAAATTTTGATCTATTATTTTAAATCTTATTATTCTTCAATTTCAATAAATATTAAAAATACTCTGATAAAAATTATAACAGCATCAATTTTAAAAGAAAAGTAACTAAATAGATTAAACAAATTTATTATTATTTAATAATATTTTAATAATGATAAATTAACTCTAATTATTTAGAATCTAATTGATATACTAAAAAAATAATAATATTATAATAAGTTTACAAAATAGATAATATTATTTTTGATTAAAGTAATAAATCAAACCTATATTATTTCAGCCATTTAAAATCTGATTGATATACTAAAAAAATAATATTATTATAATAAGTTTACAAGATAGATAATATTATTTTTGATTAAAATAATGAATCAAAATCTATTTTAATAATAAAAAAATATCAGTTGATAATAAAAATCTTTTATAAAAAAATATAATTATAATTTAAATAATAAAGATATTTTGATTGAACAATTTACTGCTCTCAAATTTGATAATAATAATTTTGAATTAAGTAATAAATATATCAATATAATACTAATTTTTAATATATTATAGAAATTATTATAAATATTAAAGTATTAAGTAAGATTTTATCTATCAAATATTACTTTAGACTTATTAGTTAAATTTTTTAAAGAGGTTTTATTAGATGTTAATCATATAAATTTTAAGGATTTTTTACCAATTTATATATAATGAGAAAGTTATTAAAAATTAACAAATAAAAAAAAAATTTATATTATATATTTAAACTATAATAAGTTATATAAAATTATAAAACTTTTATTATATTAAAAGAATAGATAATCAAATAATAGATTTTAATATATTTATATTAAATTTTTTAATTATTTATAATATAATCAAAGTAACTCTATAGAATAAAGTTAATTAAATAGGGTTTAATAATAAATGATTATACCAAAAAATCAAAAATGATTTTTTTATCTTAAAACATAAATAATTGTGATATAATAATATCTAAAATTTATATTTTTTTTTGAGAAAATAGACCATTAAGACTTCAAAATTAAGTAGATATTAAGGTTACTTATTTAAACTCATTTTAAATTTGGCAAAATGTCTAAATTATAATTTTACTAATTTTTTATTAGTTTCGCATTTTTATAAACTTTGATATAGTTTTACCTTTTCTAGAATTTTGCAGATTTTTAATAAAATTTTAATAAAATTTTACCTTTTTCCATTTAGATAACTTGCAAGACTTCTAGATTTCGTTCAGCAATCTTAGTTAGTATCAAATATTTATGATTAAAAGTATAAAAAACATTTTTATTGTGCTTGTATATTTTAAATACTCTTTAATTTTTATATATTACAGTAGCGGTCATAAATATCTGACCGTCTCTAACTCTGGCTACAAGTAAGTAAATTCAAAAATTTTTTTTTTATTTAAAAAATACATAATTAACTAACTAAAATTAATACATTGTGTAGTCACTATCTGACTCTATAAGTGCAGCTGTACACCTTTTTATGCTAGCTACTAAATTCGCGGCAAGTACAGATGATAATCAGTTCCATTCTTTTGTAAGTTCCTCCTTTAACCCTCTAATTGATTGAATTTTTTTTTTTTGTATATTAATTTTCATTAACCTCCAAACGTTTTCTATAGGATTTTGGT